TTTTTCTTGCGTTATGCGGGCCTCTCACTGTTGTGGCCTCTCCCATTTGCGGAGCACAGGCTCCGGACGCGCAGGCCCAGCGGCCATGGCCCACGGGCCCAGCCGCTCCGCGGCATGTGGGATCCTCCCGAAACGGGGCGCGAACCCGCGTCCCCTGCATCGGCAGGCGGACCCTCAAGCACTGCGCCACCAGGGAAGCCCTGTATGCTTTTTATAATACTCTGTTGGTCCTTCTTTCATTAACAGAAGGTTTCGTAAAGAATTGATATATCACAAAATAATATTGTATACTACTATGTGTAATCTCTTATAAAACCTCATTCTGCTTAACTTTAGGAAATTAAATATGCAGAATGTTAAAGCAGACAATTTGAGAAATACCATAAGTAATATTTTCTCTGTAATATTATACCACCATCTTAGGAATGCCTTTATGAGGTTGAATTGCTTAATGGATGACAGGTACATCTTTACATATGAAATGTAAGTGACTTATTTAGGGATAGGTGGGCAGTGTTTTAGTGGAGTTTAAATTAGGAAATTATAAAACTGTGTTAACATATTCATTTCATTTTAATAGGATTATTCAAGATAAAGTTGTAGCCATTTTCAACAAGGATTGATGATCAGAATTTTTCTTTTTAAAACATTTTCAAGTTAAAGATGAAAGGAAAATACTGGAATTGTTTGGATTCTAACTGACAGGTTAAAGAATATAGTATTTCACAGTTACTTGTAATGGAACCTCAGTAAAATTCATCACTTGTCATGCACCCAACTGGGAACATGGATGTTGGTTTTTCTCGTTCTGCTGTTCATACACTGTCAAGAAGCCACTGCAAAAACATCAAACAAAAAATTTCTCAGTGGGAAGGAAGAACTAATGGTAAATCTAATCCAGATAAGTGCGATCCACAGGACTTTGGAGTGAGATATAATAACTGTAATCAAGAGATTCTTCTTAAGAGAAATCCTGTTGCTGAGGGAAAGTGCAAAAAGCTGGATGTCACCAACTCTCAAAATGTTGATCAGGGTATTAATGAAGATGCCAAAAGCCACAATCAAAGTGAGGATGAAAGTGAGAAACATGAATATGATGATACACACTTCTTTAAAAATGAATCAGGATCCAACTGGGTATGTTCTCGGGCCAAACAAACTGAAAGCTGGAAAGAAGTTTTGGATCCAGAGACTTCATTACCTCCAGGAAATTTCTATACCTCACAGATATTGTGGAAGAAAATAGAAGCACTTCCGCCAGATAAAGTCTTAAATTTAGCTTTAGAACATTGTGACTCTTCAGAAAAAGAACTGAATTTCAGAGGTCTGGATAGTTCATATGGAGTAACGAAGAGCTTAGAAAACATTTACTCTGAACCTGAGGGACAAGAATGTGGACCTTCTATAAATCCTTTGCCAAAACCTCGTAGGACATTCAGATATTTATCTGAATCTGGTGGTATGCCATATAAAGAAAGAAACTGTGACAGAAAATACTGTGAAAATAATTCTTGCACAGAGTCCTCTTTAGCCTCTTCTCAGGAACCTGAACCAAAGAAATATGGCAGAAAAATCAGAGGGAGATCTAAAAGGTATGTTTTTATTTGAAAGGTAATGATTTTAAGTATTTTCCTTATAGAACTATTGAGCTTCTGTTTCCTTTTCAAACCAATTTCCATTTCCATGTGTGGGTTACACCTATAATTTGATTATACAGATGTTGATTAACCCAAGGGGAAAATACATACAAGCGAAACAGTAGGAGTATAGGTAATATCCAGGACAATCTACTGACATAAGTACTGTAGAAAAACTTCCATCTTATATCTTTAAAAATGTATAGGGGACTTCCCTGGCGGTCCAGTGATTAAGACTCCGCGCTTCCAGTGCAGGGGATGTGGGTTCGATCCCTGGTTGGGGAACTAAGATACCACCTGCCATGCGGTGCGGCCAAAAAAGAAAAAAACAATGTATAGGGAAGCAAGTACATTCTTCTACTTCATTTAGGACATGCTGGCGTTAGCCTCACTTTTTATTACAGAGTGAATTTAATAAAGTACCCAAAGAAGAACATGAATATAATTGGCTAAAAGCCTCCAGTTTTCTCATGGTGCGTATAGGGCATCAGCCTAATTTATTATTCTTAGGTATCTGATAAAACACCTTTGTAATTTTGTACACTAAGTCCTTTTCTTATCAATTTGTGTCTATCATACCAATATAAAGAATACTAGAGTTTTACAAGATACAACTTTAAAATGTATCTCCTTTCTTAAGGAAATCCTTTGAATTTGAGGACATTCAGCACTTTCGAAATCAGAACTCACGGAAGATTCATGAAGAACTTAGAAGAAATTCTGGCTCAGCACTTTATTACACACAGTCTGAGGACAATATCTATGAGGATATCATATGTAGGTGTCCACAAACTTTGCAATTAAATTTAGTGCGTATGTAGTTGATGGAGCCCTTAACTAGAGTATGTTATTTTCTTTTACAATCAAGCATGTCTTGCTCTAGATTTTCCTTTCTAATATTGAAACCTTTGTTGTATAAATTCCTTAATTCTCTAATGGATTTTACTAGTTTATTGGACTGTTCAGTTCAGAAGTAGATGTGTGTAGTATGGTATTTTGAGAATTCTTTGAGGTTGGTTGGCAGCCTGAGTGGTTTGTGAGCTTAAAGTACCATTGATTTTGAGACCTACATCCCTACAGCAATGTAGAGTAGAAAGCTGAACATATTTAGTCAGTTTTTGCTTTCTTTTCCTTTTAAGTGTAGTCAGTGTGTTCCCATTTAATTATGTTCCTCTAAACTTTTATTTTCATTATTTTTCAAGATCCCACCAAAGAAAATCCATATGAAGATATTCCAGTGCAGCCTTTGCCCATGTGGAGATCTCTTTCAACATGGAAGCTACCACCCCCTAAAAGTGCTTTCAAAGCACACAAGGTATAACCAGAGAAATAATATACGAAAATATTAGAATCTTATTTATGATCCTTCAAAAAGGTTAAAATGGTTTAACTAGGGCCAAAACTAAGAGGCACTGAAATGTGGGTTTATTGTTCTTTGTTTTGTTTTGGGGGAAGCAGCACAAAACTTTTTTTTTGGCTTTGGGGAGGGGTTTTTGTTTGTTTTTTTAGCACTTCAGAAGACTTGAATACAAACACCTTTAGACAGACCATAAACCTTTTAGTTCACTATAGTTACCACAGCACTGTAATAGTCTCACATCAACCTGTGGCCTAAATTACCTGTCTGGTCCCTGAAAGCACTTGCCAGCCCTGAAAGCAAAGGCTGCCTTGAGTTCATGAGGACTCTGAGCTATTGTTTTCTGGAAATTTGATTACACTGTTGTAGAACTTGGATTAGAAACCCAAGAAACTTCTTTACAAACAGTGAAAAAGAAATTACGGTGTCCTCACTTTAGATGATTTTAAAGGAAAGATAAATATTTTGGGGGGATCAGCTTTGACTTTGAGAACACAGGCATTACCTAGATGATCTTACCTTAGCAGTACCTCTTCTGTTTTAGCTTCCTCCCAAACCTCAGTTCCTTCACCGGAAGACTATGGAACTGAAGAACTCACAAGTTTATTTATGGTCAAAGCTCACAAAGGATACCACGTTGCCTGTCACTTTAACTGAATGGAAGCATTTCCGAGCTGGAGAAATTGCAAACAGGAAAAGGAAAAATCTTCCAAGGGTAAGAACTCCAGTACTTTGATTCTTCAACTCTTACTTCAGCACTTCCACAAATGCGAATAAATAAACTTTAGACTGAAACGAATAATAGGTTAGAACTGACCTACTGGAATTAGAAAATTTGGAAAGCAGCCTTAAGCTAAGTTTTTGCTCATGCAAGAAAAATGCATGAATGGCTTTTGCCAAGGTTTGTGTGTGTGTGTGGATTTGGAAAATTGATTTTAGATGGAGGCCTTCACTCTAGTTACCTTAGTTCTCATTAAAATCAGCTGCCAGTGTGAAGGAAACCCTAGAACCTCATGTAAAAGGACCTTCTAGTAAGCTGGCTTCAGTGTTGTTCTCACTCATTTGTGTAACAGCCAAAGTTAATTCAGTTTTGTGCCTGAGTTTACAAATTTTCGGTAATGACAAAGTATATGCCAAAAATGTCCACTCAAAGGAAGGAAAAAAGAAATTTTACTATTACTTGGGAAAAGAAATTTTTGCCAATTATATTAAATAAGTGACTTCTCTCTCAAGGGAGAAAAGGCAATAAGTCTGTAAATCATCTCAATGAGAGCCACTGAACCAAAATAAAGAAATTTGGATTATTTGTAACATATATATTTTTTAGGAGAGACATTTAAGAAATTACATGAAAATATTTAAAAACTGTTTATGTTATTTTGTTCTGTAATTCAGAATGTTTTCAGGATTACTATGCAGAAATAAAATCATTTAAATAGTATTCCTGTCTTTAATCCCATCTGAATTAGCTATATTCATTTAGCACATGATTTCTATACCTGATTTTAACATTGAACAAAAGTCATAGCTGTTTCTTGGTGTAGTAACTGCTGATTGGTTCCTTGGGAAATATTCTGTTCCACAGTTACTTTAATTCTTCTGATCCATTTCCTGCCCCTCCCTCTTTAATATGTGAAGTGTTAAAGACACAGAGTTTTTTTAAAGCACTAAACTGATCTCTCTGGGGAAAAAAATCTTTAGGTGTTTATTCTCCTGTGTATGGTGAGGACTACTTAAAAATCAGAGGTTTAAAGAATTTCCAGGATGTATGTATATATAATGCATTAACAATCACTTTCCTGTACACCAGGAACTAACACCGCATTGTAAATCAACTATACTTCCAAAAAAAAAAAAAAAAAGAATTGCTGGCACAACAAAGCAGCCTCCCACATGTTCCAGAAACAGCAGATCATGCGTTCACAGGGGCTAGAACACAAACACATAAGGAATTGTATTTAAGATGTGGTTCTTGGAATAGCATTAACAAATATTTAGAAATTATGGATTGTGGAATTTAATGAGACCCAAGGATATCTGCAGTGCTTTTGATTTCATGCCTCAGTATTTTATGTACTGTGGATCCCTTGAGTACTCAAAGCCTGTTCTCTTTCTGATTATAGGTAAGATGATCCAACTTTTCCTGTTTGGATATTTTCCCAAAGGTTTTCTTGAGAAGTGGGGAAGAGAAAAATGGTGATGAATTCTTGATTGTCAGGCAGGAACAGACTATTAGCATTTCTACCTGTGACCCTCCTTGGATTAAATCCTTTTAGGATGTTTCATTTGCAATACAAATTTTGGTTTTGGACTGTCTTCGGGAACAACATTCCATGAGGAAAGCAGTTTTCACTTATTTCCTCTTTGATGACTAGAGCTATCTCTGGAAGGGAAACTGGTTTCATAGTTTGAAAGTAACTGATCTAGTCCATATGCCTCTTCCCTACCCTTCCTTTCTTTCTCTATTGTGGCAATCTGTGTGGGATTGTTTGCTAGAGTAGTTTTCCTAATGTTTTATATTGTTTGTGTCAAGTGTGTACAGCAATATGGTTTCCATCATTTCTTAGGAAAACTATTCTACAGTATTTCCTGTAACTAGAAGGTAATTATAGGCTCCTAGCTCATAATCAAATTTTAAATTTTATTACCTTATCTCATATTTCTAGAATAGATAGTTCCCTTTCCTTTATAACATTTGAGTATACTTTTAAGTATACTTTTCAAATACACATTAATAATTCTACTATTTTTGGTCCTTATGTATCCAAAATACATGTTTACTCTCATACATCTTTCCTGTAGCCCCTAGCAATACCTTTTTATGTTGGATTCTCTTATTTTTTTTAATAATGCTAATATTTAAGAATATTGGTAACTTTTCACTTGAATTATAGCTATGAAAATCTTTAAAAGAATAAACTCATCCAAAAATGTGGGAATAATCTGCACATTGGAAGCACATGTTTCTCACATGTTATTTTTCTTGCAGTGGACTGATTCACTGCCTATGGATTGCCAGGATTGCTAGAGAAACAAGGACAAAGGAAAAAACAAGAACATTTTTCTCAAGCAACTTTGTTGGTTATCATATGTTCCTAACAACTGTAATTCTGGGCATTAAATATGTTAAATCAAGATTGATAGTTAAGAAAAAGTTTGGAATTTTAAGAAAAATATACATAGAAAAACTTATCAATTTCTCCTTTTAAAAGTGGCTGTTGATCAGCTTTCATTCTTTTCTCTTTTTTAAGCCCAGTTTGTCTGTCTGTCTCTTTTATACACACTTCCCAGAAGCAAAGAAAGAATTTTAATGAATAATGCATATTAAATGGAACATTGTTTTGTACTTGGGCATATTTGAGAATCTCCTATTTTTATGACATGTTTCCAAAATAAATTATAATATTAGTGCTCCCAGTAGCAAAGGAGTATTCCGTTTGACTAAAGCTTTCTAAGCGTGATTATCCTCTATTTGCAAAAATTCCTGGGAGCAGACATAACTGTGCCTCACCCTGCCTTACAAGTGAGTAAATATCCCACTTCCTACTCTGGGCAAGGAAAAACTTGAGTCCATTGGTAAGGCTTGGTCAATATGTGGAGTGCAGTTGCCAGATTTCCTGCATGTTGTGACATGGAGTGACAAGCAATCTCTCTAAGAACCTGTGCTAAATTCCTCTGGAAAGGAAATATCCTTTCCCACTTCTCTTACACATGTTAAATGGAGTGTGTATTAGAATAGCATATCATCTTACTAAAGATAATTTTAGATTCAAAATTGAAAAATGTAAAGGTTTTTATTTATAAAATGGATCTTTCTCTGAATGAGAATCACTAATAAGTTAATATCAAGCTGCAAAACTTGTTGGTGTTTGTTTTAACTTGTACTTTTCTGGTCTTTTTTCAGCTTGTATTGAAAATAGATGATATATTTGAATCTAAGAGAGGGAAGAAGAGGGTAAAGTTACACCCTTACACTGGAAAAGATGTACCTCCCTCTAAAGGTAAGAATTGTTCCAACTGTCCATAGCTATTAGCATATGAGGGGCGAATCATTATATAATTTAATGTTTGATGTGAATTATAATTTTTGGTTTACTTTCCTGTCTATCCCACTTAAACATAAAACTTCTTTAGGCTAAGGGATTATTTCTTGTTCTTCCTCAAATCCCTTTTGTTTAGTTCTGTACCAAGTAATAACTATTGGATGAATAAGTAAATAAATTTAAAAATAGTTATAAACCAATGAGACTAATTTTCATGGACAGGTTGCATCCTTATTTTGTAGTACTACTTTGATTTATAGTCTTTTGTCAGTATAGACTCTCTCAGTGGAGAAATGAAAATATTAAGTATATATATACTGAATGTATGTGGTACTCAACCTATAGTCATCTAATAAGTTCAGTAGTTTTATTCTTCAGATGCCTAGATAAAACTTAGATTGTCTTAAGAAACTTTCAACATCTATAGTGAATTATTATTGTAGAATTTTCTTTACAACTTTAACTTGGTTGTCTGGCAAAGGATGCGTAGAGTTTAGCAATTTTTGTCTGTGAGATTCATAAGTGAGAAATAACAGCCAAGTCATACAGAAAAGAATATTTCATATTTTTGCAGACTTCCAAAGACAGAAATTTCTTAATTTCCATTGAAAATCTCTTCTTCATTCTAACAATTACTATGTGAAAATAAACTTCCCCATTCAATAATTCAAGACTCTTTCTTCTTACTTTGTGATGATTAAAATCATCTCATCACCATTTTAAATGTGAGTTTTCATATTTTCAAAAGCAATTATTACAACATTTCAGCCTTCTCTTCTGTAGAAGAAATACTTCTGGTTATTGTTAATAATAATAGCTACCATTTACTGAATGAAGTAATAGATTCTTTATGTACTTTATCTGGTGTATATGACCACACTGGGAGGTAGGGACTGTCCTAATTTTACAGAGGAAGAAGCTGAGCCAGAGGAGGAAGCATCAATCTGAATCAAGGAACATGATACCACAAAGTCTTATTCTTCTCTATTATGATTGTTTTTCTAAATAACCGCATGTAGCAAATATTATTGTTTTATAGATAAGGAAATAAATTATAAATTGCAAATTTTGTGAAATATCAAGACACTGGAACCAGGATGAATTCTTAGAAAACATTATCATTTTCCCATATTAACAGCACTCTACTGATAACTGTATTCACCAGATATGCCACCCTAGGTAGATTATCACCGATCTCTTATTTTATTTGAATGCTTTATGGATTAGGAATATTTTAGTAAATTTGGCTCTAAGAAAAGTTTTTGAAGAGCCAAATCCTTTTTTTCACTGTATCATTATTGAAAAGAAAAAAATCAAGAGCATAAACTGCCAACTTCTAACACATACACACACAAAAAGGAGTAGTCCCTACAAATTTTTCTTTTGCGTGGCTCAAAGGAAATATGCATTTACTCAGTCTCTGTGGCCAACTCCTTCAGTGGACCCGAGGAATTTCTCTCATGCCTGAGGATCTCCTGGCTCAAGAGTCACAGTTCTCAGACTTTTGTTTACCTCCTTAAGCTTTTGTCTGTATATCCACAATGCCTCATAGAACCAGATGATTATATTTACCTACTCTGCCAGAACATGCTAGGTTTTAACCAAATCTGTTGCAACCTAAACAGTTCTTAACTCTCAGTTATCAGGTATCACAAAATGATTTATTGTCCTTCTTCAAAATTATAATTTTGTGTGTTGAAGTCACATTTAAAAAAAGGGACAACCTAGTACTTTTTTGATCCCTACAGATTCTCAACAGATTTTCCTATTGGCTTATAAATCCCTTAACCTTCATTCAGTGTCTTGGAATGCAGATCGTCAAAACCTATAGATGTGAATATGTTAAAGCCATTTAAATGATCTTTTGTAAGGTCTTTTCCAGGTAAATTACCTTTCCTCCCTTCCCTCTTTCTTTTTTTTTTTTTCTTTCCAAACACTTCATGGGCTCCCAAGAGGTGCTTGGTGCTAAGGATACAAATAGGACTCAGGAGCTCACAGTGTTTGTTCTTTCATACTGAACAATATTTTATAGCCCCAGTATACTTTTTGTAATTGTAGTTAGTTTGAAGTTATAAAACCTGTACAGTACACAATATTTAAATACCTGCTTTTTCTGTAACGTATCTTGTGTACCTTTCCCACATATCTAATGAAGAGACAGTATTTTTTTTTATGTTCTCTTCTTCCTTATTGCAAAATTAAAATGAGCACAGCAAGAAATTACAATAATATAAAATAACATAAAACGGAAAGCCAGTTTCCCAAACCTCCTCCTGCTAATCCCAGAAAATCTTATGCACATGCAAATATTTTTTCTCCCCAAATAGTTTTATACTATTCAGACTTTGTATATCTTGCTGTTTTAAAAAATATATAATTAATATACTTTGGAGCTCTTTTGTTATCAACACATAGAGATCCACATAGCTGTACTGTATTTCTTGGTATAGATGTAAAAGAATTTTATTTAGCTGGTAGACATTTTGGCTGTTTCTAACATTTTATTTAACCTGTGGATAATTAAGTTTTATAAATTATATATAATTTATAATTAAGTTTTATAAATAGGTAGATATATAGATATAGATTTTTTGTTTGTTTATATATTTTTTGTATGTTGGTAAGAATACATCTGTAGAATAAGTTCCTAGCAGTGTACTTAATCAAAGAACACATACTTTAAAGAACACATAAATTAAAATTTTTATAACTTGTGACAAATTGTCTCACAAATAGATTTTAACAGCTTAAAAAAAAACAGCTTTGGGCTTCCCTGGTGGCGCAGTGGTTGAGAGTCCGCCTGCCGATGCAGGGGACACGGGTTCGTGCCCCGGTCTGGGAAGATCCCACATGCCGCGGAGCGGCTGGGTCCGTGAGCCATGGCCGCTGGGCCTGCGTGTCCAGAGCCTGTGCTCCGCAACGGGAGAGGCCACAACAGTGAGAGGCCCGCATACCGCAAAAAAAAAAACAAAAACACAGCTTTATATTTCTATGAAGAGCTTTTGAAAATGTTTTTTTCCTTGTAATCTTCATTAATACTGTGTTTTATTAGAGCTTTTTATTTTTTGCCAGTATCATGGTTGAAAAGTGTATCTTATTGTTTTAATTTATTAAATTTATTTTATTAATTATGAATTTGGACAGTTATGTTTATCAATAGTTATCAATCTTTTTCTATAAATTGCCTATTCCTACTCTTTTATTCATTTTTTTGTTGTGCTGTGTTTTTACTTATTCATTTGTAACAGCTATTTAAATATTAAGAAACTTAGCCTTGCGTCTGCAATGTGGATTTCAAATATTCCCCCAGTTTATTTACCTTTTGAATTTGCTAATGATTTTTTATTAGATTAGGAATTCTACATTTTTATACAATCAAACTTCCATACATTTTTCATTTATGACCCCTAGTCCTTTTTTTTCCTGATACATTAAAATGTTTTCCCTTTCTTTATATTTTAAATTTTTGCTTTAACTTTTCAGACTTAATTTAGAAATTTTTCGTTCACCTGTTCACGATGTTTTGTTTTGTGTTTTGGTTGTTTTCTTTCTTTCTTTCTTTTTTTTTTTTGTAAATTGACAATGTGCCTAGTATTGTACAGAACATTCCCTTCTAAAAACAAAGCCCTTAGCCTCAAGATACTTAAAATCCAATTGTGGAAAATAAGAGCAGTTCAAAGCCATTTGAGTACTATAGGAATTCAGAGTAAAGTTCAGTTTAGTTTGGCATTAGAGGTGGCTTAGAGGCATCATAAAGGCATCATAAATATTACTTCATAAACTTATTTGGTAATCTTTCTTAGCCTCACATTTTCCTGTTAATCTAAATTCATAGTGTGTTCTGTATTGAGATTTTTCTTTAGCCAGGTTGGTGTTTTACCTTTGATACCTTATTTGGGAATATAAAGACAATAATATGAAGGTAGAAATAAAATCCACTCTGATCAAGGCTTTCTAAAACTAGTCTGAACTGCTGTTAATTTCTAGAATTAGGGATGAGAGGGGAACTGAGGAGGGAGGTGGGTATGGGAAGAAGATGGAATGGAATAGTTTCTTCTCTGAGCCTTTTATTCTTTTTTGCACCTGTCCTGCCCTGATACAGCTAAGTGGTTTGGAGAAAGGCTCAGCATCCTTAATTATTCCTTACTCCAAGTAAGTCCCCAGGTCTGTGGAGCTTTTACATTGTTTTCGTCCTCATGTTCTGCCTGTTCTTGTTGGACAATACAAATGGAAACTCTTTCTTTTCAGGTGAAACCAGTGGGTACGAAAGTGATGCCGAGTATCTGCCAAAGAGTGAGTGAGTCAGTGGGGCTGCTCCCTTTCACGTGATGATCCTGGTAGTAGGTGGGGTGGCACCTACCTTTGTGATTAAGCGTGTTTTTTCTACACGAAGTTTCATTTTGTCAGTGATTTCTTCATTATAAGAACCTGTTGAGATTTGGGGAACTAAACAGTACACTGTCAGATGTTTGACAGCATTAAAAATCTCCCATGGTAGAGTGAGGCAGACCAGTGTAGTTCTTTTTTTTTTTTTTTTTAAATACCACTTTTGTAACTAACTGCATACTTGACTGTATTACCATTGTTTAGCAGGCTAACATTTTTTTTTTTTTTTTTATAATACACAATGTATTTATTTATTTATTTATTTATTTATGGCTGTGTTGGGTCTTCATTTCTGTGAGAGGGCTTTCTCTAGTTGTGGCAAGTGGGGGTCACTCTTCATCGCGGTGCGCAGGTCTCTCACTATCGCGGCCTCTGTTGTTGCGGAGCACAGGCTCCAGACGCGCAGGCTCAGTAATTGTGGCTCACGGGCTCAGTTGCTCCATGGCATGTGGGATCTTCCCAGACCAGGGCTCGAACCTGTGTCCCCTGCATTGGCAGGCAGATTCTCAACCACTGCGCCACCAGGGAAGCCCCAGTGTAGTTCTTGAGATGGAATGTTCTTCCATCTTAAGAGGGGAGCGGCAGAGCTGCACGTTCAGACATATGTGCAGCAGCCAAAACAGAGTATGTGAGTCATTCTCTGAGGCAAATACTTTGCATTAAATATCTGATTTTTTCATAGTCATTCATTTGAGTATCTTAGATATCTCTGTCATTGGGACAGGAAACACTGATCTGTTTCTTATTCATAGGTATTTATATTCTAAATTATTGTGCCATTTACTTTCTGTTAGAATATAGAAGATGCCGTGTTTTTTTGGCTGTATTTGTTCAAGCAGTCATAGTGCTCTGTATCCTTCATCTAATGGATTTTCACAGCAAATTATTTAGTTTCTGTTTAACTGAAGCATGGAAAAAATAGGAGACCTGAATTATCAAAGCTGAGTACAGGGCAGTTCCAGGTCTGATACTCTGATCTTATGATTAATAATCATGTGCTCCTACCAGTAGCCTAAATTGCTTCAGGTGTTTGATTCTGTAGGCTGACTGAAGGTGAAACTTAAGTCATCATCAGGTTCAGCTTGGATGTGTAAAGATGATTAATTTTGTTCTGTTGCTACTGAGAAACAGGCCCTAAAATTTTCTTGACTTTAGCTGAGCCCTTTGGAGTTTGGAGTAAGGAAAGTTTGCCTAGAGCACTAAATGTACCGGATAATTTTGGAGAGGCACTCCAAAATTATTTTTTAAGTGTTCTTAACATTTTGATCTACCTTGTAACTTCTTTGGGGGCAGAATGCGTCATATCTCAAAAGAAAAGCAAAACAGTTAGTGGATGAGTCTTTCCATCATTGGCTCAGAATGACACATAAGCAAATCTCTGGGATGCTTAGACTATTTCTTCTGTAAGTACTGCATGTCCCCTAGTGGAGACTACCCCAAATTATTCAGAATTTAGAGATAAATGAGAAAAAAGGATAAATGGTATCCACTTTTCGGTGGGATGGCTCATACTGTTTACATAGTATGCTTCTATGAATTCTTTCTTTTGAGAAATAGTCTGCTAATGGATACCTTCTTACATGTCATTTTTCTCTCTTGCATTTAGCACCATTTACTGATATAAGTATATGTCCATTATTAGTAATATATGCCAAGGAGAAAAGGGAAAAGAACATTTCTTTAATGTGAGGATAGTTTTTGTTTTACTTTTATCAAACTTGTCTCTTTAGGAACTTACCTTCTATAGGACTCAGTTCTTTTATCAGATCTTTTCCCCTACCTATGATTTCATGGTTCCCAAAATGGCATCTTTTGTCAGGCCAGTGCTTTTACCTGACATTTTCCATGTATCCTGGTGTCATGGGATGGCACAGAGTATGTGTTGGGACATACATAGGTATCGGTTGGGACACAGAACATCGGTCCCACTGCAGGGCCCCCAGGTGCTTGTGAGAATCTGCACTTGTCCTCCAAGTGTGTCATAGCCCTAACAAGTATGTCTGGGTGGCAGACATTGGTTAGTCAACATTCATTAGCAACAACTGAGTGAAGATTAGTCCTGCATGGGTCATGGCCTCTGGGTGCTAGAGGGAAGATAGGGCTATAAAGGAAAACAAGACTCCGTAATCTCATCGCAGGTTGCTACAAGCGCATAGCACAACTGCAGCAATCTTCCAAGAGGAATCCTCACTACCAGACCTTAGAGCGGGATCTAATTGAATTACAGGAGCAGCAGCTGTTTGAACTTTTTGTGGTGGTGTCTCTACAGAAGAAGCCATCAGAAACAAGCTACACTCCCCAGGTCATACAACAATTCCCTAGCAAGGTAAGTGCATGGAGGCTATGAGGCATCCAGGAACGTTTCTGTGTCTCTGTGTATTTATTCCCTCTCTTCTTGTTTACTATTGTCTCAGCTTTTACTAACAGTGTACTTCTTGTAGGATCCGGTGCACTCTAATGATATCTTGTGTCAGGCATGAGCTGCAACCAAGGGGGAATTAAAGCTCATTATTCAAGTTGGGCTTTTATCTTTTGCTCTGCTATTTACTAAGTGACCTTTAGCAAGTTACAGAGCCTCAATTTTCTCATCCTTAATGAGGGGAGTGATAAATGTGGCAGAGTAGGGTAGCAGTTCAGAGCATGGACTGGGAGCCAACTATCTGCATTTGCCACTTATTAGCTCTGTGACTTGGACCAGTTAAACTGCTCTGTGCCTCATTTTCTTCATTGGTCAAAGGGGGATAATCTTCATAGTGTCTACCCCGTGGAGTTGTGGTGAGGATTAAATGAGCTAATTATAATTAATATAAGGCACTTAGAACAGTGTCTAGCATACAGTGAGCACTATGTAATGTTATTCCCTATTAGTGAGGATTTAATGAGATAATGTATGTAACGTGCTTAATCCAGTTCCTTGCACATAGTAACACTTGATAAATGGTAACTGTTATTAACGGTATTATTTCATTTACCTTTTTCACAAAATAATTCATTCATTTATTTAATCAATATTTCATAAATACCTACTCTTTGCCAAGATTAGGTGCTGGGAATACAACTGAAATAGATCTTCTTGGTCCCTGCCCTCACAGAGCTTACAAAATAGACCCCAAATGTGGCTCTGAGCTTTGTGGCAGTAAATACAAAAAGCATGATCATTACATCAGGGCTTAACAAACTGATGGCCTCTGAGCATATTTAGCCCACAGATATGTTTTTTGGGTTTGCACAGTAATAAAATAATAAAAGTTTTGTTGTCAATTTTTTGTTTAAAAGTCATATTTCACATAAAAATCTGTATTTCTGCTTTCTCCTGAGAAACTAGAAAGACTGCCAATGTTCAGCCTACATTCCTAAGTGGCATGAATTGGCTGAAGCTGAGTAAGGAGCAGGACTGACTTCATGGGCATGTGACCAGTGCAGTCACACAAGGCCCCTCACTTGCAAGGGCCCTGCACCCTGCTCTGCAGTCACCGTTGAAGTTCTTAATAATTTTATTTTTTTATTTTTATTTAATTTTATTTTTTACGGTACACGGGCCTCTCACTGTTGTGGCCTCTCCCGTTGCAGAGCACAGGCTCCGGACGTGCAGGCTCAGCGGCCATGGCTCACTTTTTTGTGGTACGCAGGCCTCTCACTGTTGTGGCCTCTCCCATTGCAGAGCACAGGCTCCGGACGCGCAGGCTCAGCGGCCATGGCTCACGGGCCCAGCTGCTCCACGGCATGTGGGATATTCCTGGACCGGGGCACGAACCCACGTCCCCTGCATCGGCAGGCAGACTCTCAACCACTGTGCCACCAGGGAAGCCCCAATAATTTTATATTTGAATCTGTATTTTGTAAGTGAGGAGTGAGATCTGATGAGACAGTGGGGCACGTGCTAAGGTCTTATTAAAGCCTTGGCTCATGTGTGCTGTCACCTCTCCAGGATGGGTTCTCCAGTTGTCCTCACTCCTACCCCTTGGTTCCCCAGGCCCCGTCTGGCTTCCACCTTTCAATCCTCACTCAGTGACTGCTGCCACCCTCTGCACGGGCATGGAGGGGGTCAGGATCAGGCAAGCATTAATGCCGAAGTGTCTTAAGCAACACATGGTAGATCCTTCCCTACCCTGGGCATTGCTCCTGTGTTCAGTGGGTGGCCTGAGGGGGCAAGCCTTTTCACCACCCCCAATCCAAGTACTAAGCACATCCCCATGTGGAGGCTACAACCCCTTGAGGGTCGCCTAGCTGCTGCGGGTTGGAGTAGTGGGCCCATGGGAAGGAAAGTCCTTGGCTCAACTTTCCCACCCCTAGTCAGGACACAGTTTCAGTCCTGCAGCTGGCCCAAGGGGAAACCCAGCAGCTGGTGGGCCACTTGGGCACCAGATTGCAGGCCAGGGTCCCTGGGCACCTGTGAGAGTCTGCACTTGTCCCCAGGATCCTCGTGCCTGAGGGAGCATGCCATTAAGTAGAAAATCAAAAACCCCATTGCAGGCTGAGAAAGAAACCACAGAAGAAAGTAACAAGTTTTTTTTTTTTTTTTTTTGCTGTACGCGGGCCTCTCACTGTTGTGGCCTCTCCCGTTGCAGAGCACAGGCTCCGGATGCGCAGGCTCAGCGGCCATGGCTCACGGGCCCAGCCGCTCCGCGGCATGCGGGATCTTCCCGGACCGGGGCACGAACCCGTATCCCCTGCATTGGCAGGCGGACTCTTAACCACTGCGCCACCAGGGAAGCCCACAAGTTTTATATTTCATTTTACATTTATTATTTTCCTGCTTTTTGAACAAGGGGCTCACAGTTTTTCATCTTGCACTGTGCTCTGCAAATTATGTAGCTGGCCTCGGGAAGGAGTGATCCCTTTAAACAGGGACATTTACTCACACTCCAGCTTACTACTTGGACCACTTCTCTCATTATCTGCTTAGGAACTTTAGGACTTTGGGTTTAAACCCTGAGTTGCATGTTTCACTAGAAAAGCTAGTGAAGGGCTTCTCTGGTGGTGCAGTGGTTAAGAATCCGCCTACCAATGCAGGGGACACAGGTTCGAGCCCTGGTCCTGGAAGATCCCACATGCCGCGGAGCAACTAAGCCCGTGTGCCACAACTACTGAGCCTGTGTTCTAGAGCCCTCGAGCCATAACTACTGAAACCCGCACGCCTAGAGCCCATACGCCACAACAAGAGAAGCCACTGCAATGAGAAGCCTGCACACCACAACAAAGAGTAGCCCCCACTCGCCACAACTAGGGAAAGGCCATGAGCAGCAACGAAGACCCAGCGCAGCCAAAAAATAAATAAATAAAAATAAGAAAAGCTAATGAAGCACAACTGAACTGAAATCTGAGACATTTCCTGCATGGGTTCTCATTTTTTAAGAAAGTCCTCACCAACATT